CTCTAGCGTTGGACATCTTCCGTTACCATTTCTGCCGCACCACTTTCTTCTCTTGGAAGACCGAGCCGCGGGGCTCCGGCCCTCGTTCCCGAAAACACAGGCGGGAGACCCGGGCCCACGGCTCCGCGACCTCCGCCGCAGCCCCCGCCCACATGGGCGCGCCGGACCCCGCAGGGGGTTCTTCCGTCAACACCCAGTCCCCGGGGGCCGTGCTCGCGCGGTCTGACACTGCAGCCTGCCGCCGGCAGCGCCAGGCTCCGGTCGCAGCCGTCAGCCCTCGGGGTCTCGGGGCCGCGCGCCGGAGCCGCTCTCTGGAGGCACTGAGGGGACGACGCAGGCCGCGCGGGCTCAGACGCCGCCGCGCCAGGCCGCGCGCTACTCACCCCGACGCCGGTAGCGCAGGATCCCGGCCCTCTGGGACTCGGGCCGTGGCATCTTCCCTCCCGCCACAGCCCGGGTCCGAGCCGCATTAGCCACAGCGGGCGGAGCAGCTCGGGAAGGAACGCTGCCCCCGGCGCAGTGGCGGCCGCGGGTTCGCCTAGTGCCCGCGCCGCAGTCTCGGACCGAGCGCGCGTGCCCTTAGGGTCACGTGATAGGAGGCACCGCGCCCCCCCCTCCCCCGCGCGGGTGACGTCACCGTCCGCGCCTGGCGTGTGCGCCCCGCGGCGCCCGCGACGTCTTGAGCGCTCGGGACGCTCCCGGCTTGGCGGTGGCCCTGAAGGTCTGTGACCGGCGGCGTGGATTTTCCCCTCGTATAAAAAAGGCCTCCTTAAGGACAAGCGGGCTTGTACATATTAAAAGATGAACAACTTCAGCTTTGCTCAAAGAAATGTGGGTTCAAGTGTGAAGGCCTTGCGGTGTACCTCTCAGAAGCCGTGGAAAAACCTCACGCTGGTGGTCAGGTGCAGAAGTGAGGCATCCTGAGGGACTGCGGCCACAGCAAGCCGCGTCGGTGTCACCTGGGGGCTGGTTGGAACTGCTGAATCGGAGGCCCCTTGCCACACCTACCTAGTAATCGAAATCTGCGTTTTACCAAGAGCTGCAGGAGACTCACGCAAACTGAAGTTTGAAATACCCGTGCTAGCGAACAAGTCAGAGCCTGAGCTGCCACTGCTTCACCTGCTCCCGACCCTTGATAGCGTCAGATACTTAAATGTTGGCCTTCTGGAACGGAATTTTTTTCTAGCTGTTATTTTTTTTTTTTTTTTAAGATTTCATTTATTTATTCATGAGAGACAGAGAGAGAGAGAGAGAAGCAGGCTCCCAAGGAGCAGGGAGCCCGATGTGGGACTCGATCCCAGG